ATCATATAAGTGCATAAATAACTTATTACTCATATCTTGAAATAAAGTGATTTGAGTGTATGTAACAAGTGGTACATACAAAAAAATAATTAATCTAATTATAAGTTACAAAGTGTTTTTATAGTCAGTGTTAACAGTAGTACTGTCATTTTGAACTTTTTATTGACAGATTAAACAATTATTTATATTAGTTTAATTAATTTATAGCATTTTATAAAAAGAAAGGGCTGAAATTATAGTTGAGATAAAAACAGTTTTGCAATAAAGCAATGTTAAAACACCTTTGGAAAATATCAGTATGAACTTATGAATTTTTTTTTTTTAAAGTCTTTTTAAGCTCATCTCTTGAAGGGGTTTACAAGTAGCATCACCTGTAGCACAAGACTGGTCTATAGTCCCAGCATACAGAGGCTTATTAAAAAGGTGGTTGACATGTCTGATATGTCTGAGTGAAGCAAAATTTTATGTAAAAATTAGATCTCTTCCTTGAGGCTAGGTCTGGGGAGACTCGGGGGTTCCCCTCTTTCTGATAACTAGCACTGTGTTAAGTTGATAGTGTCAGGAGGAATAATCTTCTAGACCTCTGACTGTAAGCCCAGCTCCAAGAAGCTATGAGTGGTAGATAGAGCTCCCCTTCCATCCCACCTGTGAAGTCATTACATAATTGCTGCGTTATTGGAATTTACATTTAACATGAACTGTAAAGGACATACACAGAAAGCTCGATTTGGAAGTAATGGTGTTTTACTCTCTTGCTATGGCATTAATGCTTTCATAAATAATATTTTAAGCAACACTTTAAATCTGTGATCATCAGAAAGCTTGGTCCCTATAATCTTGTCCTCAAAATACTGGAACTAGGCAGAGTAGCACCCTCGCTGCCAACCTCAAGGGTGATGTCCTCTGGAACAGTTTTGGTGGTGGTTAGAAACTGTGGTGTTGAAATGTGTGCCTTTATTTTGTTAATTATCGATTTCACAAATATGGCTTTCTGCCCAGCTATGCAAGGGAATTTAGTAAAAATTATTTGCTAGGACTTGAGGGCTGGATCCTCAAGGGTCAAAATTAAAGTTCACAATATATATACACTAACCCCAGTTTCCCATGGTCTGCTAAGTACATGTACTTTTAGAGAAATAAGAACAGTAGGTTCAAATGCAGCTTTTCCTGGAGAATCTATGACATGTGGTGTCTAGGACACTAAGGTCACAGAGCAAGTTCATGAAAGAGAAGAGATAAAGTTCAGGGTTTCTGACTATACTGTACCATAGAACCCATGTAGCTCCATTGTTCCAGGAGGGTGCCATCATTCAGGCAGGTGCTATAATGGATTTTATTATTGTTCAAAATATTTGGTATCACTTCACAAAGGGCCCTGCCCACACCTTTGGCAAGATATATTTCCTTGCCCCATTGCAGGGGGAGCTGTGGGACTTGCTTTGGCCAATGGAATGTGAAGAAAAGTAACTAATGGCATTTCAGAATGGAAGCTTGAGGAGCTGGCCTGAGCTTCGCCATGATGCCTAGGACAGTCCCAGAGAGGAATCATGGCTATTTGTGTGTGTGTATGGAGCCTCGGCTCATCAGAAATGGGCAGGTTTTCCAGGTATAACTAAGGAAATCTGGAGGAGGCTCTCAACCTTCTGGACAGAAGCCAGCACAGGCTACATCTTCTAAAAGCAACTCCAGACCCCCTGAGCTTGACTGTCTCTTCTCAGCAAGGATTTTATATCCCTCCTTTCTGCACCACTAAATCAATTACTCAACCCCATGCTCTTAATTTTTCCCTTTCAGGGAGTGCTTTCTGCCCCCACCCCACTCTCTTTACTTATATACTTCCCACAAACTGTGAGACAATTCTTCACCAAATCTCTGCCTAAAGTAATAAAGCTCTGAAAAAAAGTGACAGTAGAGGTGACCACCCTTAATACAGGTTTTTGGGTGCCTAAAACATGGCCAGTAATTTTGGGACCCTCGAATACCAGCAGGAATAGAATCTCGCCTGCCTCATTGTTCTGGCTGTGGCCAACTGATATAAGAGCAACAGGCAATCTTCCCTGGAGATGGTTTTACTGCACACACTGCTTGAGAGTTGTGAACTGTTCTGACCATGTGAAAGGCCCCCAGACGCAGAGGTCACCCCCCACCCAAAGTGTGGCGCTTGAACATGCTGGGAGTGAGAGGCCTTCCTAACTGCTCTTGGAAAAGATTCCTTGGGGACTTTGGATTTGTTCACTAGCACCTTCCATGTGTTGTTGGATTGTGGAGAAATAAGGAAGACAGAACATAGCTTGCATTTCCCCTGGATTTTTTTCTTAGTTAAGAAATATCCTGAACTCATGAACCACTAATTCAGTTTTACTCAACCTTCTCCCTTCTCCCCCTCTTCTTTTACATCTTTTTTTTTTTTTTTTTTTCCCAAGATGCCTGTGGGAGAGAACACATTCATTTCAGTAACAACGGCTGTTTTCCTCAGGAGTGGAGTGGTTGGGGTTCTGCTGTGCACAGCCTCTCAGGACCGTGCACTGAAATCTCTGGGGTCTAAGGGTCTGTACCATTGTCAAAATCCCCCAGGTGATATCCACTTACCACCCCCAATGCTTCATTACTTTTATATTTTAGACTCCACATTGATATTCTCTGTATTATTCTAATAACTAACATTTAAGTAATGAAGATTTTACAAAAGTATTTATTAACTCACATTCCAAATCGAAGAGGAGACTAGTTCTTTTACCCCTTTCCTTTGTTAATTTTGTTTGCAGAATATTGGTTCACAGGATTTTATTTTATAAAGGAATAAAACCTTCTTTTAAAAAAAAGTGTTATGTAGATTAAAAATATGGCAGCAATGCATGATGAAACTGCCAGCGAGGGATGTGGCTACAGCTGTACACGGTTATACCCTAGTGAGCTATTAAATTGTGGCTTTTGGAGCAACCCAGTGACATTCGCAGTAAATCGAGGTAGTAACTGTGTTCATTGGTTGTTTCACGAGCAAGTTTTTTTCTTTAGAGAAAACAGGGCTGTTGTACAGAAAGATGAATTATATTAGTCTCTGCTTAGAGGGCTCCCGCTCTAAATTAGACCTGATATAAGATCTAAGGGGGGTGGTGCCATTTGGGCAAAAACAGATAAGCCCTGACAATTCTCAGCCTCTCTCTCTATAATATATAGAGAGAGGGTGAGAATTCATCTTTTTTTTTTTTTTTTTTTTTTCTGGAACCAATGGGCCAGTATTTCTCAGAGACTTGCTCCTGGCGTGTGGCTCTAGGCTGGGTCATAGGCTCCTCAATTCATCCCATTCCTTGGAACTCAAGGGGCCCCCATCTCACTTGAGCTGGTAGCTGACTGCTGAGAGGGCCCTCAGTGACGTGCGAGCAGCCCAGTCCTGAGGCCTTGGCCAAGTCACCACCCATTTCTGAACTTCAGGTGTCATAATTCAATGTCAAGAGAGTTAGATTAAGAGATGGAGAACTCAGTGAAGAAATCCAGTTTTTAAAAATAAAGATTCTCTCTTGAACTCTCAGTTAAGGGCTCTGAGACATAGTGGTGTCCTTCCTGAGGCCTTCAGCACAAAGTTAATATCCGCATTCCCAGAGAAAATACAATGGTCTTGTCCCTGACTTCACCCCATGCAAAAACCACCCGGGTACGAGTGCCGAGTCTGGAACTCCACCTGAAAGCTGCCCTCTGGTTCCCAGCAACCCCTTTCAATTCTGCATGACCTCTCTGTGCCTCCACATGCCTAAGGACCAGTTTCCAGGTTAAAGAGCCATATGACGATTACAGATGGAGGGGGCCTTAGATGCCAGGTAGCAGAGCATCCCCTGTGCAGGTGAGAGGACTGAAGCCTGTGGAGGGAAGTGACCAGACCTTAAGGCCTCACAGATGTTGGGGCAGACTGGAGTAGGCTGCAAAATCGCCTCGCCTTTTCCCTGATGGGGCTGCCTCTCTCCCTCTTGTGATTGTGCCTTCATCTGGATTATGCAAATTGGGGGGCACGTTCCTTCCTAGTCCCTAAAGTCTTTAAGTTGGGCTTGGGGTGATGTGGGTGCCCTATTGCCCGGCCACTTTCAGCAGCAGCACCAGCAGCAGGACCTGCAACACAGAACAAATGTGTTCCTCCAGCAGCCGCCTCGGTGTGGCCTGGGACCAGAACCAAATGAGTTTTAACAGTTCTATGACTCTAGGAATCTCAAATGTTACTACTGCACTTTTCACAGCGAGTTCAATTACATTCTGTCTCACTAACTGGTCTGAGATCTCCCCGAGCAAAAGGACCATGCCACCTCTTTCTCAGTCCCCATGCATTAGGAGCTCAACGGTAGCAATAAATGAACAAATGTGCTTCATTTCAGAAGGGCTGGGCCTGAGTCTTGGATGAGTTAGCCAGAGCTGTGTAAACCTGTTTCCTGATCTGGATGAAGGGGGACTAATCACTGCCTTGGTCAGCACACAGGTAAAGCAGTTAGTGCTTGGCAGGTGCTAACCCATGGTCCCAGCACATCCAGGGCTTGGGAGTTGTAGGCTTTGCATCTCTCCATTCCTGTTTCTCCTTGGCTCCCTAGGGTGACATAGTTGCCATAGTGCATGATGTGGAGAATGCCTGGAAGAGCAGTAGGGTGAAGCAGGGCCACTGAATTGTCCTTGCCTCCTGGAGGCCCCCAGAGGCCGGGGTGAGTTTGGTCTGGGCTGAGCCTCCCGTCCTGCTCCCTTCATTTAGTTGGTGTCAACACCCAGCCCTGCCTCCCAAGCTAAGCTCAGGGCCCTGGACCTCTCCCTTGAAACTTCTCTCCTCCCTGGCCCTGGATTTTTGGCACTCTGCCCAGCTGCCATGGTAATAGTCTCCAGGGTGACAAAGGAGGTTGCTGGGTCTTGTTTTCTTCTGGTGGTGAGGATTTTCAGACCACAGAGACTGAACTTCTCTACACCTGCCTGGGCTCCTTCTGTGTTCTCACTCAGGTAGAGCTCAAACTCCCGTTCCTGCCAGTAGGGCCATGTCTACCAGCCTGACTACTTGTGAGTGGAAGAAAGTCTTCTATGAGAAGATGGAGGTGGCAAAGCCCACTGACAGCTGGGAGCTCATCATAGACCCCAACCTCAAGCCTAATGAGCTGGCCCCCGGCTGGAAGCAGTACCTGGAGCAGCATGCCTCAGGCAGGTGAGAGGCCCAGAAAGGAGGACCCTGCAGGCGGTCCCTGGAGCACAGCCCTGGATACCTTCCAGGTGGGGGCAGAGAGAGGCTTGGAGCCTCATCCTGGTGTCAGGTCAGAGTAGGGGATGGAGAAGAAGTGCCGGGTAGGTCAAAGAGGCCTTGTTCTAATCCCAGCTGTGCCACTGACTCCTGGGTGGCCCTGGAAAGCTGAGTTCTGTCTTTGGGTCTCATTCCAATTTGATTTGAATACAAAAACATTTATTGTCCACCTGCTATGTTCTAGAAACTGGTTCTACAGCCAACTCTGGGCACTTGGGCAAATCACTTTCCCTGTCCGGGTCTCACTTTTCACATTTGCAAAAACAGGGATTTGGCCTGAGATGACCAATCAAGTCCCTTCCAGCTCTATTATCTGTGGGTCTGTGACAGAAAGATTTAGCTTTGGGTAGGACTTCCCTTAGGTCTATAGGATCCAGCATTTTACACTTTTTAGGAGCCTTGTGTCTCCCATACTGCAAGGAGTCTTAAGGCCAAGGAGACATGTCCATCTGAAGCCCACAAGCCGCTCCCTTTTCTATACTATGATTTGAGACTGGGACCACAGAATTCCCTGCCCAAGCTGCCTCATGCTCATCTCCAGGGTCTGTGCAGGCCTCTTCTCTGGGTCCATTGATTCAAAGACAGACAGTACCTTTAGGCTTCTGCGAGGCTTACAGGTGGCTGTGTTCTGGGGATGTGAACACACAGGCTGGGTGTTCAGACATGTTTAGATGTGAAACCCCTCAGGTGCCACATGATGCAGAGAGGGTAGGAACAGGAGGCAGGCTGTGGGTGGGGAGCTTACATTTGTATTCTTGCTCCAAGACCTGCAAATATTAGAGTGAATCTGTCTTTGGGACAAAAGACAGAGGCAGAGGTTGGTGGTTCATTTCAATTCAGATCAGTTCAAGAGAGATTTATTGGACCCCTGTTATGTGTTGGGTCCTGGCTGTGTCTCTGACTGGCTGTGTGTGTACAGAGGGATCTCTTTCTCTCAGTGCTTCTGTTTCATCTCGGTAAAATGAAAGGCTAATGATCCCGAAGTTCCCCTTCTGCTAGGTCTGGTATTTTGGGATTTAAGATGTGAGGTCTGGCTTGAGGGAAAGGAAACAATCCTGGGCTGGCTTGATTTAAGAAGGTGTGGAAGAAAGGGGATGAGAACATGGAGCCTCTGAGCTGGCTGGTGGAAGGGGTGCAAAGGGCCAGAAACTTGGGCCCCATGGCCCAGGAGTTTAGGGGCTGAGCTCCCTTGCCTCAGGGATCAGCTGGTCCTATACCTGGCTTCGAACTGTGTCTCCCAGCTGGCCTCAGGCAGGGCTAGAGAACTGCTGCACTGTCCTTATTCTGTGCATAGGCTCACTCTACCTCTAAGCCTTGGGACATATGAGTCCTGGTGCCCTGCAGCTCTGGCCAGCATGGGGGTAAGGGTCCTTCCCGCTCAGGACCAATCAGGCTGCTCTCCCTGCCAACCCTACTTGGGCAGTGCTGGGTACTGTTCTGTGCTTATGTTGTCTGTGGGCTACAGGGTTCAGAGGCAGACTGGGCATCATCTCTACTCCACAGCATGGGTTGTGCTGTGCTTGGTGGTATCTGTTGGATTGAATTGAGTCCCCATCAGAGGCCATAATACAGGGGGCCCAGAGAGGGTCAGCAGTGAGGGCAAACTCAGCTTAATAGACCCCTGACAGCCTGTAAAGCCTCTATAACAGGGGCTTGTGAGAGGTTCATCTCAAGGGTAGAAGGAACTTTCCTGGAGGTGAGTGCTCCGTCACTGAAGGTGTGAAAGCATCAGGTAGGGGCTGATGGAGTGGGGCTTGGCTAGGTGAGTCCCAGCCCACTTCTCTCCATGTTTCCTGAGGTTGGGACTCTAGGGTAGCCCAGGTTAGACACCATGGTAAGTGTTCGTGTGTGCATGTATGTGGAGGGGGTTGCAGAGCAGGATCCACTTTTCCAGTCTCTCCTGCAGGGTGGAGAGGGATCTCGGGATGATTTGCCAAGGGACAGAGAGTGTTCTTTGTGAAGGAGCGGGGACCAAATTCTGCAGTCCTCTTCCTGCTCGCCTGTCACCCCTCCACCTGTCCATCCGTGGATTCCTGGTGGTCCGAGCTTAGCACAGTTAGGGGAATCTCCTCTTCTCCCTAGAGCAGGCAGGACGCTGGAGCGAGATATGCTGATCATCTTTCTTATCAGAGTCCCGGGAGGTCTGGCCCTCCTTACTGGACACCGTCACCCTGCTTTTCACAGCTGAGAAACAAGGCCCACATTAGGGGAGTAACCACTGCGCAGCGTCCAAGTGCCTGTCGTGAGGCCTTAGCTTGGCGGGGAGCTGCGGCCACCAGAGGGCGCGCAGGAGGCAGCCCCGGGAGCGCGGCGGAAGCCAGCCGGCGCCTGAGGACGCCCTGCAGCTCCAGGCCCCGGAGCCCACCGGGAGGGGCTGGCTGGCTCCAGCGCTAAGCAACCCAGGGGGCAGCAGCTCTGCTTCTACCTGCAGGCCCAGGCACACAGCGCCCTTCCTTCCGGACTCGTCCAGGGCAAGCTGCCGCTCGGAGGAAGGCCCCTCTTATTCCTCCCCCCGTCCCCCCGCAGGTTCCACTGCTCCTGGTGCTGGCACACCTGGCAGTCGCCGCACGTGGTCATTCTCTTCCACATGCACCTGGACCAGGCCCGGCGCACGGGCTCCGTGCGCATGCGCGTCTTCAAGCAGCTGTGCTCCGAGTGCGGCTGGGCGCGACAGGACGAGTCCAGCATGCTGGAGGAGAACATCGAGGGCCTGGTGGACAACCTGGTCACCAGCCTGCGCGAGCAGTGCTACGGCGAGGACGGCGGCCAGTACCGCATCCACGTGGCCGGCCGCCCGGACAGCGGGCCGCACCGCGGCGAGCTCTGCGAGGCCTGCCAGGAGGGCATCGTGCACTGGAAGCCCAGCCAGAAGCTGCTGCAGGAGGAGGCCGCCGACCCCTTCTCTGATGCCTCGGCGCCCAGGGCCCCGCCCGGCTCGGGCTACAGCTTCTCGCTCCGCTGGTGCCTCTTCTGCGCCGCCCTCTGCGCGCTCATCGTCTACCTGCAGGGGGCCTTCCGCGGCTCCGCCTTCCTTTC